TGTTGTGGTTTTGTGGGGGTTGTTGGGGGTGTGGTAGTTTGGATGGTGGTTGTGTGGGGGGGGGGTGTGGGGGGTTTGGGTGGTGGTGGTGTTGGTGGTGTTGTGGGGTGGGTGGTGTTGTGTGTTTGTGGGGGGGGGGGGTGTGTGGGGGTGGGGTGTGGGTGGTGTGGTTTGCGTTGGTGGGGGGGGTGGGTTTTGTGGGGGATGTCTGGGTGGGTGGGGTATGGTTGGTGTGGGGTGGGTGGTTGGGGTTGGGGGTTTGTGGGGTGGGTGTTTTTTGGTCGTGGGGGTTGTTGTTGGGGGTGGGGGGGGGGGGGGTTGGGGGGAGTGTGTAGTGGTGGTGGGGGGGGTGTTTTTTGTGGTGTGTTTGGGGTTTGCGGGGGGGGGGGGGTTTGGGGGTGGGGTGGGGAGGGTGGTGGGAGTTTGTGTGGTTTGGTGTCGGTGGTGGTGGTGGTTTTGGGGGTAGGGGTGGTTTGTGGGTGGTGGGGTATGGGGGGGGGGGTGGGGTGGGGGATTTGTTGGGGGTGGGTTGGGGGGAAGTGTGTGTGGGTGGTGGTGGGGTGTGGTGGTGGGGGTGTGAGGGGTGGGGGTTTGCGGGGGTGATTGTTGTGTTTGGTGGGGTTTTAGTTGGGGTGTGGTGGGGGGTGGGTGGGGGGGGGTTTGGGGGGTGGGGGGTGTGGTGTGGTGGGGTTGGGGGAGGGGGTAGGGGGGTGGGGGTTGGTGGGGGGGGGTGGGCGTGGGTGGGGGGGTGAGGTGTGTGGTGTGAGGGGCGGTGGTGGGGGTTGATGGGTTGAGGTGGGGGGGGTGGGTGTTTTATTGGTTGGGGTGTTTGTGGGTGGTGTGTGGGTGGGGTGGTTGGGGTGGGTAGGGAGGGGAGGTGGGGGTGGTGGGGGGGTGTGGGGGTAAGTGTGTGGGAGATGGCGTGGTTGGGGGTGGGGGGTGGTGGGTGGTGTGTTGTGGGGGGGGGTGGGGTTTAGGTTGGGGGGTGTTGTGGTTGTTTGGGGGGGGTGGGTGGTGTGTGGGGGGTGGGTGGTGGGGGTGGTTTTGGAAATTAAGAGGATTTAGGTTATGGTGGGGGGTTGTGGGTGTGTTAGGGGGGGGGTGGTTGGGGGGGGGGGTTTTTGTTGGTTGCTTGTGGGGGGGGTGGGTGTGGTTGGGGGGGCGGGGGTGTTGTTTGTGGGGTGGGTTTTTTGGGTGGTGTAGTGCCGTGTGGGTTTGGGGGGTGGTTGGTGGGTTCGTTGGGTGGGAGGGGGAGTGTGGGTGGGGGGTTGGTGGTGTGGGGGGGGGTGTGGGTGGGGTTGTTTTGAGGGTTTGGGTTGTTGGGTGGTGGGGGTGGGGTGGGTTGGGTGGTGGTGGTGGGTGGAGTAGGGGTGTTGGGGTGGGTGTGTTGGGTGGGTAGTATTGTGGGGTAGGGAGATGGTTGTGTGGGGTTGGTTGGGGTGTTGTGTGTGGGGGATTAGGGGTGGTTTTTTGTTGTGTAGTTTGGGTGGTGGGTTGGTGGAGGGGTTGGGGTGGTGGGGGGGGGGGGGTTGGTTTGGGGGGGGGGTTGGGTTTTTGAGTGTTGGGGTGTGGGTGTGGGTTGGGGTGGCTTTTTTTGAGTTGGTGTTTTGTGGTTTTGTGTGGTGTTTTGGGGTGTGGTGGGAGGCGGGGGTGGGGTGAGGGTTTTTGGGGGTGGAGGGTTGGGGGTGTGGTGGTGTTTGGGTGGGGGTGTGGGGGGGTGTGGGGGGGTGGGGTTGGGGGTGTGTGTTGGGGCGTGGGGAGTGGGGTGTTTTGTGTTGTGGGGTGTGTTTGGAGGGTGGGTGAGGGGGTGGTTTGGGTGTGGTGGGGCGGTTGGGGTGGTGGGTTGTTTTTTGGGTAGTTTAGTGGTGGAGTTGTTGTTGGTGGGTGGTGGGTTTTTTTGTGTGTGTGGGGTGTGTTTTAAGTGCGTGGAGGGGGGAGGTGGGTGTTGGTGTGTGTTGGTGTGGTGGGGGTGTTTGGTGTGGGGGTTGGGGGGGGTGGGGGGGGAGTTTTTGGTGTTGTTGGGGGGTGTTGGTTTGGGGTTTGGGTTGATGTTGTTTGGTGCGATGGGTGGGGGTGGGTTTTGATTTGGGTGGTGTGGTGGGTTTGGTTTGTGGCTTGGGTGGTGGTTTTTTGGGGGTTTGGGGTGGGTAGGTTTTGGTGTTGGTGTGTGTGGGTGTGGTTGCGTGTTGTTTGGGAGATTGGGTGTGTTTTGTGGGTGGTTTGTGTGTGTGGGTGTTTTGTTTGGTTGTGATGGGTTGGTGGGGGGGTGGGGTGTGGGGTGGGGTGGGTGGGGTTGAGTGGGTTGGGTTTGTGCTGGTGGGAGTGTTTTGTTGGTTGGGGTTTTGTTGGTGGGGGTGGGGTGTTGTGGAGTGTTTTGGGTTGGGGTGGGTGTGTTTTTTTGGGGGGTTGGTTGCGTTGTGGTATGGATGTGGGGGTTGGGGGGGTTTATGTTGAGGGTTTTTTGTGTTGGGGGTCGGGTGAGGGTGGGGGTGGGGATCATGTTGGGTGTGGGGTGGTGTTGTTGGGTTTGTTGCGTCGGAGTTGGTTTTTGGTTTGTTGGTTGGGGGCTTTGGGGATGTTGTGTGACATGGGGGTTGGGGTTTGGGTGTGGTGGGGTGTTTTGGGTGGGTGGGGTGTTGCGTGGTTTTGTGGGGGGGGGGGTGAGGTGGGGTGTTGGGTGTAGGTGGGTTGGAGGGGGGTGTTTGGTGTTGAGTCTGAGTTGTGTGGTTTATGGTGGTGGGTGTGGGCTTTTGGGTCGGTGTGTAGGTTTGGGGTTGGGGGTTGGGGGGGTGTTTTGTGGTTTTGGGGGTTGGATGGGGTGATGGGGGGGTGTGTGTGTGCGGGGGTTTTTGTTTGGGGGTGATTATGTTGTTTTTTGATGTTTTTGGATGGGGGGGGTTGGGGGTTAGGGTGGTTGGTGGTGGGTGGGTTGGTGGTGGGTTAGGGGTGGCTTGGGGTTTTTTGGTGTGTGGGGGGTTTGGGGGGTGTGGGTGGGTTTTTTGGGGGGGGGGGTGGGTTTGTGGTTTTGGGGTGTGTGGTGGTTTGTGTGTGGTGGGGTTCTGGTTGTGTGGGGGTGTGGGTGTGTTTTTGGGTGTTGTTGTTTGGTGTTTGTGTGGTGGTGTGGTGGTGGTCGTTGATTTTGGGGTTTTGGGTTGGTTTTTTGTGTGGTTGGGGGGGGGGGGGGCTGGCGGGTTTTGGGGGTGGTGATGTTGTTGTTGGGTTTGGGGGTGGGGGGGGGTTGGTGGGGTGTGGTTTGGGGTTCGGTGGTGGTTTGTGTGGGGTGTGGGGTGTGGTTTTGGGTGTTGGTGTTTGTGTGTGTGTGGGGTGAGATTTTTTGGTGGGTGGTTTGGGGGTGGGGGGGGGTGGGTGTGGGCGTGGTTGTGGAGGTGGGTTTTGTTGTGTTGCGGGGTGGTGTGGGGGGGGGTGGGTGTGGGTGGAGTTGGTAGGTGGTGTGGTGGTCGTAGGGGTGTGGGTGGTGTTGGTGGGGTATGTTTTAGGGGGGGTGGGAGTGGGTTGGGGTTGTTGTTGGTGGTTGGTGTTTTTGGGGTGGTGGTGGGGTGGGGTGTGTGTGGGAGTGGGTGGGGGTGTTGGTTGGGTGTGGGGTTGTGGTGGCGGTTGTGTTGGGGTTTTGGGTTGTGTGGGGGTTTTGGGGGGTTGTGTTGTGCAGGGGGGGGTGGAGGTGGAGGGGGGAGTTTGGAGGGGGGGGGTTGTTGTTGTGTGTTTTTTATGGTTTGGGGGTGGTGGGGGAGGGGTTTGTTGGGGGGGGTTGGCTTTGGGGGGTTTGGTGTGGGGCGGGTGGGTTTGTTGTGGTTGTGGGTGGGGGTGGTTTTTGGTGGTTGGTTAGGGGTAGTTGGTGGGGGGTTGTTGGTTTTTTGTGTTTGGTGGGTGGGAGGGGGGGTGGTGGGGGGGTGTGGGTGGTGGTGTTTTGTGGGTGGTGTGGTGTGTTTTGGTGTGTGTTGGGGGGTGTGGGTGGTTTTTGGGGGGTGTGGTTGGTTGTTTGTGGGGGAGGTGGTGGTTTTGTTTGTGTGGTGTGGGGGGGTGTTGTTGTTGTGTGGGTGGGTTGGGGTGTTAGTTGGGGGGGGTGTTTGTGGTGTGGGGGTGTGGGGGGGGTTGGTTGTGGGTTGTGGTGGTGTGGTTTGGTTTGTTGTGGTTGGGGTGGGGGTGGGTGGATTGGGTGTTTTGGGTTGTTTTGGGGTGTGGGTGGTGTGTGGTTGTGTGGGTTGGGGTGGGAGGTGGCTTTGGGGTGGTGTTTTGTTGTGGGGGGGGGGGTGGTTGGCTTTGGGGGGTGGTGTTTTTGGTGTGGATGTGTTTTTGGTGGTGGGGGTTGTGTGGGTTTTGGGGTGGGGTGGTGTGATGGTTAGTTGGTTGTGAGGGGTGGGTGGGGGTGGTTATTTGGGTGGGTTGAGGTGTGCGTTGGGGGTTGTTTGGCGGGGTTGGGTGGGTGGGTGTTGGTTGGTGGTGGGTTTTTTGGGGGTTGTTGTTGAAGGGGGGGTTGTGGGGGGTGGCTGTCTTGGAGTGTGGTTGGGTGGGGGGCGTGGGGTGGTGGTTGGGTGGGGTATGTGTGTTTGTGGTGTGGAGGTTGGTTGGGGTGGGGTGGTGGGTTGTGCGTGGTGTTTTTAGGTCGGGGGCGTCTTTGGTTTGGTGGGGTGGGTTGGGGGTGGGGTTTGGGTGTGGGTTGGGTTGTGGGGGTTCTGTGTGGTGTGTTGTGGTGTGTGTTGGTTGGGGTGGGGGGCTTTGGTGGGGTTTGTTTTGGGTATGGTTTGTTTGGTCGTTGGTTGGGTGTGGGGTGGGGTTTTATGCTTTGGTTGGGGGGGTGGTTTGAGTGTTGGTTTGGTTTTGGTTTGGGGTAGTTGTTTGGGTTTGTTGAGGGTTTGGTCGGGTTGGTGGGTGGGGTGGTTTTGGGGGTTGGGGTTTTTGTGGTTTGTTGTATGTTGGGTGTATGGGTTGGGGTGTTGGATGGGTTGTGTGTTGGGTTTTTGTGTGTCTTTGGTTGTGTTTGGGGGGGGGGGGGGGGTTTGGTGTTGGGGGGTGGGTTGTGTGGGTTGGTTGTGGTTGTTGGTGTTGGTTGTTTGTTTGTTAGTTGATGTTTGAGTGTCGGGTTTTGTGTGTGGGTTTGGGTGTGTGTGTGGGTGTTGGTTTTGGTGTGTTGTGTGTGTGTGGGTGGTGGTGGTTGTGTGTTTTGTTTGGGTTGTGTGGTTTGGGTTTGTGGTGGTGTTAGTCGTGGGGGGTGGGGGTGTGGTGGTTTGGTTGGTTGTTGTTTGGTTGTGGGGGGGTTGTGTATGATGTGGTGGTTTGGTATGGTTGGTGGGGTGGGGGGAAGAGGTTGTTTTTGGTTTGTTGTTTGTTTTTTTTTGTAGTTTTTGGAGTGGGTGGGGGGGGTTTGGGTGTTTGGGGGGTGGGGGTTTTGTGGGGGGTTTGGTTTGAGGTGGTTTGGTGGTGGGTGGTTTGTTGTTGGGGGTTGGTGGGCTGGTTATGTTGGAGTGTAGGTCGGTGTTGGGGTTTTGTGTTATTTTGTTGGTTTTGTTTGGTGTGTTTTGGGTGGGGGGTGTTGTGGTGTGGGTTGTGGTGGTGGGGGTTGTTTTGGTTTGGGTTGGGGGGTGTGGTGTGTTGGGGTTGGGTGGGCTGTTTGGTTGTGTGGGGTGTTGGGGTGGGGTTTTTGGTGAGTGGGGTTTGTTTTTGATGGTGGTGTGGGGTTTTGGTGTGGGGTGTGTGGGGTGAGGGGGTTGTGTTGGTGTTTTTTTGGTTTTGTTTGTCGGGGGTTTTTTGTGTTGGTTTGTTGTTAGGGGGTTGTAGGTTTGCTTGTGGTGGTCGTGGGTGGTGTGATGGGTTGGGGGTTTTTTTTTTGGGTTTGTTGTGTGTGTAGGTTGTGTGTTTTTTTGGGGGGGTGCGCGGGTTTGTGGGTTTGTTTGTTTGTGTTTTGTGAGTTGTTGGGGTGGGGTGGTGATTGTTGTGTGTGTGGGCGGGTGGGGTGAGGGTTTGTTTTTAGGTTGGTGTTTTGTTTGGGTTGGTGTTTGTTTGTTTTTTTGTTGTGTTGTGTTGGGGTTGTTGTTGGTGTGGTTTAGGTGTGTTGTGTGTTGTTGTTTAAGTATTGGTTGTTTTTGTGGGTTGGATCGGGTGTGTGGGTTGGTTTATTTTGGTGGGGGGTGTGTTGGAGGAGGGGGTTGGTTTTTTTGGTGTTGTTGTTTTTGGTGGGTTGGGGTTGGGGGGGGGGTTTGGGTGTTGGGGTGTGGGTGGGTGTCTGTAGGCGGGGGTTTTGTGTGGGGGTTTGTCTGTTGTGGGGTGGGTGTTGAGGTATGGGGGGGGTTTGTGTTGTTTTGTTGGGGGGGTTGTTGTTTGTGTGGTGGTTGTTTGTTGGTTTTGTTGTGTGGGTGGGTGGGGGGATTTTTGGGGGGTGTTGTTGGGTTGGGGTGGTCTGTGTGGGTTGTTGTGGTGTTTTTTTTTTTTTTTTGTGGGGTGGTGGGGGGTGGGTGGGTGGTTTGGGTTGGTGTGTGGGGTTTTGTTTGGTTGTTGTGTGGGTTTTTTTTTGTTTGTGTGTTGTGGTGTTGGTGTATGGTTGGGTGGGTGGGGAGGTGGGTTGTTTAGTGGTGTGTGGTGTTGGTTATGTGGTTGGGGGGGGTTGTGGGTTGTGTGTGGTGGTTGTGTTGTGAGTGTTTTGGATTTGTTGGTGGTGGGGTTGTTGGGGTTGGTTGTGGTTTGTGGTTTATTTGGTGTGTTGCGTTGGTGTTGGGGTTTGGGGTTTGGTTGTTGAGGTATTTGTGTTTTTGTGGTTGGGGGGTGGGGGATGTTGGGGTGGGTGGTGGTTGCTTTTTGTTTGTTTGGTGGGTGAGTGGGTTGTTTGTTTGGGGGTTTGGGGGTTTTGGGGTTGTGAGGGTGGGTGTGCGTGTGGTGGGCTCGTTTGTGTTTTTTGTTTGTTAGGGGGGTTGGTGGGGTTTGGGGGGGGGTTGTGGTGGGTGTGGGGGTGGTTGGGGTGTTTTTTTTTCGCTGTTTTGTGTGGTTTTTGTTGTTTTTTTTTTTTATTTTAATGGTGGGGTTTGTGGAAGGGTGTGGGGTGGTGTTTTTTTTGGGTTGATGGTATTGTGTTGTTTTGGTGTTTTGTGGTTTGGCGGGTGGGTGGTGGGGGTGTTTTGGGGGTTTGTTTCTTGGTTGTGGTTTGTGCTGGTTTGTGGGTTTTGTGTTTTGGGGTTTGTTTGGTGGTTGTGGTTGTGGGTGGGGGGGTTATTGGTTGTTATTTTTGTGGGTGGTGTGTGTGGTGAGTGGTTTTGGTGGTCTTGGGGGTGTTGTTTTTTTGGTGGTTTAGTGTTTTTGGTTTTGTTGTGTGGTGTTTGTGTTTGTGGGGGTATGGTGGGTTTGGTGTGGGGGTGTTTGTGTGGTTTGTTTGGTTTTGGGGTTTGGTTGGGGGTGTTGTGTTTTTTTGTGTTGTTTGGGGTTTGTGTGTGTGGGGTGGTTGGTGTTTTGTTTTGGGGTGTGGTGTGTTGGTGTTTGTTTTTTTTTTTTTTTTTT